GTTGGTTTGAGCAGTAGTCAGGTCGGCTCCAATAAACTCGAAATCAATTTCATCCTTTGCGTCAGACATCAAATAAAGCAGTCACCACACCACGACCCCTACTGGTCTTTAGCTTAGCAGTGGTCTTGCCATACCACATGTAGTGGTTGTGGCCGAGCAAGGTACCAACGGTGCTGGGAGCCATGGTCAACAGCAGATTACCACCGGCAGACTTGGGCTCACCGCTGGAGACCCAATCCGCCTTGCTGGCATCACCCAGGTACTTTGTGTTGGGAGCCACACTGCTCAAGTCATCCCAGTTGTAGGTCTTACTCTTGCAGGCCGGCATGGGGACACACGAGTCCACGGCGAAGGATGATTTCATATCACATCCTCCCAAACAGTAGGCACCAGAACCACATTCTCCGTACACTACGCAAAAAAAGGGAAAGAAGAAAAGAAACACCCCCAACAGTTAGCATCATAGGTCTTCTTATTATACCCCAAGTTTCATAATTGCGTGTCAGACAGAGCCAACTTACATGAACAACAGGGCGCCGAGCTAGGGCACTTCTGAGTCGGGCTACACTTCTGGGAAGCACCAGCAACCAACACCGACTGTGCAGAGAGCGCAACGGCGAGAGCAAAGGTGATGAAGCGAGTCATCTTGCGTAACCCTCGACGCTCAACGGCGGACGAAAGAAAAGAAAAAGAAGGAAGGATATTATTATTAGGCGAAAACTCCGTCTAGAGAGGCAGAGTTTCTAGTTTTCCTGGAGTATATCAGACAGCCCCAAAAGAAAAGCAACAAGAAAAATGTGAGATACTTGGGCAGTGTCTCTCTCCTCGGGGGCTGATGTTGTATATATATATATATATATAATAATGAATTATGTACGGAGGCAAGTATAGGTGCACAAAACACGGTAGTGATCGGGGTCGCGCAGGAGTAACGATCCACTCGAATATACAAAGAAGAGGGAAAAAGCAAGCACGAGCGAGAGTGAGCAGGACGACCGAGCGACCAGAAGAAAAGACGACGAAGAGAGGAGTCCAGAGCCGCAGGCCTCGAAAGTCGACAGGAAGCGAGTGAACGAGCGTCCTCTCGAGGGCGGACTTGGGGATGGTGATAAACGACGGGATGGCCGGGAGGAGGAGGGGGGGGGAGAGCGCCTTGGTAAGCCGCTGGACGCTGATTGGCTGGAGCGGCTTATATAAGGTGCCATGCGTCCGCTAGCTCATGTTTGCTTTTGCTTAGTCAGAGCGGCGGAATAAACAATTTTATGGGGTAAATCAAAGTGGACGGCGAGAGATGGAAGGGCGAGAGAAGCAGGGAGGAGCAGGCTTTGGGAGATTGAGGCCGATATCCGATCCTTGCGGTCATCGCTCCTGCGGCGCTGGAAAAGAGATTGGCCGTGGGTTGGCAACAGGTGGCAGAGCAGAGGCCTCGCGGAGCTGCACGGTTCGGGCGCGAGACAGGGTAGGCACAGCGTCAAAGGATGCTGTTGGCTGCCTTAGCTGAGTCCCCGTCTGCAGGCTCAGACTGAGGCTCAGGCTCGGGTTCGGGCTCGGGGAAGCTGACGGACAAAGAGCTGCTGCCTGTCCGTGTCTCGTCCATCTACATAAAAAGGAAGAGCAGGAACCAGAAACAGATGGGAGAGCTCGGAGGGACGCATCTCCCAGGCACAGATCTGCCTGTCGTACAACCCTAAGCAACGCGGCACTCTGGATAGTTATATAAAGGAGAGTTCATAGCTATCATCATGGCAGCGTCAACCCGTGAGCCCTACAGGGGGTCCTGTCGTTGCGGCCTCATCCGCTATGTGGCATACATCACCATGCCGCCCGCCATCAGTCCCGACGGCAAAGTCGACCGCTACTCCTCCGTCCACTTCTACAAGTGCAACTGCACCGCCTGTCTCAAGTTTGGCCTCTTCCATATGCGTCTGCCCAAAGCACCGCAGGATTTCCTGCTGCTCTCTCCTCTTCATCCGGAAAATGACCTGACTGCCTACAAGATTCTCGAGGAGGGGTCGACTTGGTACTTCTGTCCCACTTGTGGCGTCCGCTGTTTCTCCTTCGGAGGAAAGGGCAGGGTTAAGGAGGTGGATGTTGAGGAGTGGGCGACCAAGCCAGCTGATACAACAGACGTGAAGGCTGCTGCTGCCGCCGCCGCCGCCGCCGCCGCCGCCGCAGGAGATGAAGGCCCAAAGAAGATCAAGACAAAGGCCTGGACGATCGACGAGGATGGCTGGGATGAAGGGCTAAGATCTTGCTATCTCTCGGTCAATGCGCAGACTCTTGAGCCCGAAGATGGCCTCGACCTCAGAGAGATAGTTGACAAAAAGTGGCTCGGTTATCTCGACTACCGCGAGATGCAGGAGAAACAGCGCTTCGATCGTCCTCATGTCGGCGGCTCCTGGTGATGGATAACTAGCTGGCTTTGTATATAGTTTCATGCAATGAAGCATGTAGTCACGCCTCCTTTAGGCCCAATTAGGAAGCTCAACCTTCTGGGCCTGGAAAATAAACATCACGTGATATCGAATTTTTGAGGTGAAACAGCCCTCCAAGCCGTATTCAATCTATTTTATTTCTGACTATTGAACTTGCTCTCTTGATAATGGGGTTTTTTTTTTTTTTAGGAAACAGCGAATCGTCTCAGCGGCCTGGCTAGTACTTTATGTGATACCAATATGTGAATGATTTCCGGCGTCTTCTGCCAGTGCCATCCGGCCGGTCCCAAGGGAACCCTGCAGGAAAGATATCCTGTTGGACTGAAGTTTGCATAATATACCTTAACCTTCTGATGCTATCCGGATGCTCGGCTTCGGCTTGGTTTCTGGCTTGGCTTCTAGCTAGTGATGCACCCCAGAGTTGTTTCTATAAGTCATCACATTGGCAGGTAATATCGCCATATAGGAACAATGGGTTCTCGCATGGGCCTATTGCAAATGTTTACCCCCCCCCCCCCCGGGATTTAAAAAATGACCATTACCCTCTATAACTGCTTGTGCTGGAAAGTGCTGCCCTACACACTGATAAAGCCGATAATAACTGCGTATACCAGCAAAAAATGTGCGCTTCTCGCTATGTACTGATGTATGCACGCAATTTCAATTGTATCAGATGACCCCGCTGCACCGCTAATCGTATCCTGAAACGATGCAAGGCTCAAACGATTTCCAAGCAAGTTGGGCCAACACCCCTGCGATACCCAAAGCGACGTCCAATGCCTTTCACCCCAGACAAACCCCTCGAAATTCACAATCGAATACTCCGGCTTAACTGACCGGGACTCCGAATATGCTAGGACAGCAATTACTATAACAGCAAACAGGGCTGGACATCATATCTGATGAAATACAAATCGCTCACAAGTTCATACAAGTTCACATTTGCACTGAAGAAAAACATACAAAGAATGAACGCCCAAAATTTGCTATGATAGTCGCATAAACAGTGCTCAATAAACAATCAGTGGATAACAAGGGCCCCCCGTTGAGCCCAGGTTGCTAAAACCAAGTTCCAAAGACCCTTCTCCTTAGTTCCTTTGCCATTGCTCGTCTGGTATCCAGTGTCCTAGAAGCTGCATCCATATTCTCCTGGCCTCGACGGACAAGATACCTCATACATTCTCGGACCGACCCCCAGACAACTGCTTTGTAAACCATTGGCTTCACTAACATTGAAGTGTCAACAACTTCCCCCTCATGGCAAATCTTGCCTCGGTGGATGAGCTCACAACTAAGCTCATCGGCCATTCCATATATCTGGCCGTACATCAGTCCAATCTGGGGCTGTCCTGTATAACTTTGCTGGTTCCTGATATCCTGCGCCTTCTTGATCGAGTACCGATTATGTGAAGCAACCAGCAGATCCACTTCTGGAAAGGTAGGTTTTGGGATGGATTCTGGCTCTGTTACGGGAGGTGAGGTAGGGCATTTTGGCGAGACAGTCGAGACGTATGGAGTGAGCACCTCGTTGTACTCTCTCCTGATTAGTGCATCGGCTAAACCGTCGTATGCTGTATCTGTTTCTTGCTTGTGGTCCCAGATGTAGTGTCTGGGTTCGGCCCCCAGATATGCTCCCCGGACCAATTTGACGCCTAGAACAAACCCTTCGTCCTGTGCAATAGACATGTGTTGAGACAACGTCTTAGGAGTTGACCGAAGATATGCCTGGTACGTGTTGTACACCACAGCCCTTTCGCCTGCAGTACTATCGCTGCGGTTATTATACTTGCGCTGTAAATCGAGGGCCCATGAATCAATAGCCGGTTGAACAGCTTGGTGTTCTGCGTCGATCAACAGACGAACGTTCTGGGATATTGCCCTTTCACAGATTTCAAGCATTGCTTCATAGAGGTGTGGTGGCGGAGGGGCGCCACGTACCAGATGTTGTATTGCTTCACTTCCCGCTCCTGTGAATTTAACGTTGACAAACCCCCCTTCCCCGGCCAGATCAATGGTATGAAGGTTCCCCTCTCGCCAGGTGTCGACCTCATACTCTGCAACCTTCTGGTTACTTTCCGTGGTGTCAGCATCCGTGCTATCCAGGTCAAGAACCGCAGCGGCTTCTTTCTTATCAGGGACACCTTCTTTCGCATACCCCAGAATGACACCTGAAAATCCGACTCTTTTTATCTCGTCAATACAGCGCTGGACTTCATGGGGTTTCTCCCCGGCGCAGAACTGGGTATAAAGGGTTTTGCGTAGGAGATAGTTCAATATAAAATTGCGATCAGGGTTCAATAGGGGTGATTTTGAATCTGCTATGAAGGATAGGACTTTCATTGCGGATTTCAAGGCAATGGGGGAAGAGGACAATGCAGTGGTGAACAGAGAGCGAGTGATTGAAGATATAGAGAGTATTGACAATGGGGAAACTGCAGTCTGACATTGAGAAGAGGAGAAGCTCGATAGAGGCGGGCTTGGTGGCTGGAAGAGAGAGGCCGCTGTCCGCTGTCTCCCAGGCGTAGCCAGGGCGGTCGAGGGAGGCGGCGAGGGCAGCTTGTTCCTATGGCCTCCTATGTACTTGTCGCCATGATGGTATCTAGCCCAGTGTAAGATGTGTTGGGCAGGACGGCATTGGCTGCCGATGATGAGACGTGCAGTGCGAGAGCTGAAATATGGATGTTGCTTTGTACTCCATAGAACGTTGACAGCTGGAATCCCTCCGACGGAGGCCATCCTTCGGTGTAGATTATCTCTCAAAAATGAATATGATAGCAAACTCAGGCTCGCTGTCGATGAAGACAGATTAGATGGTCGAAGGGGTGGCTTGTGAAGATGAGAAAGAGGGTCAACAAGGTAGTAGAAATAGAAACAACTAAATCCGCCACTGCTCGTCCAAAGATGGTTATGTCAAGTATACGGGAAGTAGCAGTAACAACGCCCGCAAACACGGGGGCTATAGAATTATATACTTAGTGACAGCATGCCATGGCCAGATGCAATGCAAACGACGAACGGCATCTCCTTAGCTAGTTACGCAGAGCATCACCGCTGTCCGCGCAGCCAGCCAGCCATCGCTCGCTTCCACAGCTGTCAAAACAAGCCGCCATCCAAGCATCCATAACGCAGACATCACACGAAGGCTCGCTCAGGACACAAGCTGATAGGCAGGATAGGCCCGGAAAGGGCTGGAAGGATAAAGTCATATCTCACCTTCGTGTACATTCTACATGACGGGGCTTCGTCTGCCGGATGGCCAGAGCCGAGCGAGCTCCAGCAGGCCCGGCGAGTGACACAGCGATGGGTTAAGGCAAGGACACGAACCAGGTATCCTACCTGTCTTCCTACGCTTCTCCACACTTTTTCTGCTGTGATGACGATGCGGAGACATGGTTCAACTGGCCAAGAGCTAAGCAGGGAACAGTTAACTGATTAACTAGTTAGCTACAAAAAAAAAAAAAAAACAAAAAAAGGGGCCCCGTTTTGTTGCCTTTATGACGCTATGTTTGGTTTATCTAGACGCCAGAGTGTGCTCGAACCACGGTTGGTACGGGCTGGACGGAGCCAAAGGGACACCAGCTGACCTCTGCCTCTCTGGGGGGCACCTATGGAGGGGGAGCCAGATCGATATCGGCCCTCGTACGCCCTTGTAGTGTTTGCTGCACCCGGGGCGATCTCGTTGACCACTGCATGACTCTTGCATCCCCGAAGGATATTTTCTCCCGAAACGGTGGCCCCCTACGATTGGCCAATGTCAGGGAAGAAGCTGCGTTGCCCCGGTCGCTGTTTGACTGCCGATCATCTGGTGGCTGTTTTGTTTCTGGGTTGACAGCGTTTGTCGACGGATGCTGTTGGTGCGAGGCTCGCATATATAACTAAAAATATTTCAAAGGGGTGGGGATAGTTTAATGAAGAGTTCTAATTTTTTTCTCTTTTCCGCTGCTCTAAGATACCTACAATATATCACTGACATAAGGCCTGGCCCGAGGAAGTATTCAGTGTTCATCGAGCAAGTGAATGTTGTGTCAACTTGTATCAACTTGTATCAACTTGCATCAACTTGCCCACACCGATTCCCGGGAGTTAATTTCTCAAATATGCACGAAATAAAAAAAAAAAAAAAAAAAAAAAAAAAAAAAAAAAAAAAAAAAAAAAAAAATAGAAATAAAGATAAGGACGCCGCCCGAGGACTCGATAGAAAGAGAATAAAAACAATGCAGAAAGGAAAACACTCGATAGTTGGCTGAGGTCCTGTTCCGTGGTATTATGAGGTTGAAAATGGAACTACCACTGCCAGCGCGCAGAAAAGCAGAATAAACGAAGGAGACGTTGAATTCTCCTTGGGTATATGATGGTGAAAAAAGGGAGGGATATTGCTTCTCATTATTGTTCATTAACGGGTATCATCTCTGGTTTCAGCTCACGCGGAAACCAGAGGAGGGAAGTCCCGTACGAAGCTGGAGTGTGAGAGGCGACGGTCAGCAAGGGCTTTCTCATACAATATTAGATAGGTGAAAAAAAAGGTTGACTTACTGGGCTGGGCACACGTATCCAGTGGGATTCTTCTCCAGATATAGCTGATGGTATGCTTCGGCAGTCCACCACTGCCACTGGTCCGGGGGATTGAGCTCGGTGGTGACGGGGGCCTTCCACCACCGCCTAGAAACCTGGTCGGTTACGCTTTTTGCGATCCTCAGCTGTTCCTCGTTATGAGCAAACACGGCGCTTCGGTACTGGGTGCCAGTATCAGCGCCCTGTCTGTCCTTGGTGGTTGGGTCATGCATGGAGTAGAAGAATTCGACAAGCTGCTGGTAGGAGACAATTGTCGGGTCATATATCACCTCGACGGCTTCGGCATCTGTTTCAATGGAAAGGCAGGCAAGAGAGTAAAGGTCAGCCATCGTATCCCGAACATCAACGGCGCAGTGGCAGCGACCAATATGATCCTCCGATGAAAGGCCGAAAAAAAGACTATGGGGTAGACTTACGGCCTGTCTGTCCTGTACAGACTTGACGGTAGGTTGGTAGCTTGGATTTCCCACCACAGTAGCCAACAGAGGCATCTAAGAGGCCCTTCCCGTTGCCAAACCGCCGACGGTAGATGTGTTCAACACCCCAGAAGCAGCCGGCAGCAAAGGTGGCCTTTTGCGCATGCGGAGGGATACCTTGCTGCTTTGCAGCCAGACCACCGGCAGGGGACTCGGGAATGACAGTCATCTTGACGGAACTGAGAGAGAAGGGCCTCGACAATCGTTGCAAGACTTGCTGAAGGGATATTGGGGAGACTGCCATCAACCGGAGAGGAGAAAAGAGGAAGTAGTTATTCTGTGCTATGTAACTGGGCTGGCCGGCCGGGCTGGTCCCCGGAAGATATTTAAGATATTTTAATCTTTGCCGTTTGATCGCCGTTTTACCTCGCTTGGCGGTTGAGATCTTGACAGGGACGGACTTTCACAGATAAAGAAAGCAAAAGAAAAGAAAAAAAGAAAAGAAAAGAAGTGAATCTGAGAGAGCACACGATGGGAGCAGCGAGCAGCTTCAAAAGGTAAAAGCTTTTGGTTCAGAGAGGTCTTCCTGAGGACGGCCGCCGAATAAATAGGCAAGGCAGGGCCAAAGGGACGCCTCCAGCAGCCAAGCTAATTATGGCGGCATCTTACGCCATCGGCGGGATGACAAATCTCGGGCTATCAAAGATTCCATAGGCAACGATTACGGGGAAGCAGGCCGATTGCTCAGCCGGCGAGCTTGGTAGGTGTTATATTAATAAATTCCATCTGTTGTTCTGGCCGGATGAAGTTCGGCAAGTTCAGGGTTGAATCCATCCGTCCCTCGGTATCTTCGGAGGCTTCGACCCCCTTTGGAATCATGGGCTTAATGATGATGTTATTATTACTTATACCACTGCACTGCCTGCGATGTTTTTTGACAGGCGGTTAACATTAAAGTCAAGCTAGGCTATGAAGATGGAATCATACAAATTTTCCGAGAAGACGGGGCGCAAAGGGCTTCCACAAGGTGTATACAATTTTGTCAAGTCGAGAGTCGAGAGTCAAGAATATGGCTCCGAAAAAAAAGGGGGACGATTAAAAAAGCATGGTACATACAGGAATCAAAAAGACAACCGAGAGGGTCAAGGTAGTCAAGGTCAAGGGCTTTCAATGTTTAGCCTGCTTCACCAGTTCTCCTAGCCGTTTCTCCAGTGTCCGTCGTCCGTCAAGGGTGTCCCAGACCTGATGCGGTGCTCCCTTGACAACGTCCCATGCAACAAGTTTCTTCGTAATCTTGGTCAAATCTTCTTGCTTATCAGCCCAGGTCTGGCTTCGTCTTACCTCCTTGCCTGAACTGACGACTACCAGAGGAGTGGATGGGCTCTGGATGTGTCGTGCACTCGAAATCTCGCTGCGGGTGATGGAATCCGCAACAAGGCTTTCCTGGAGCTCGGCCTTGATGAACTTTCCTCCCTGATAGGCTCGCATGCCGCAAACACGGTCTACTCGAGTCCGGCCTTTGAAGATTGCACCGGCCAGCCTGTCAATGCCAAGTGGAGATAATATACCCCAGATCCAGAGCATCAACCCCCGGCCAGGCCTGCCAAGGGTGTGAAGCAGGTCTTCATGGAGCGTATCGATAAGCATGATACCATGGATGTCGCGAAGATGCCGGCTGGCGAAGATGCGGCTGTAGATACCGCCGACGCCGGTCGACACTACAACCCATGGGCCTTCTTCGTCGGCCATCGCCAGTGCCTCTGAAAGGGCATCTGCCGACATGCCTGCAGAGTGAGGAGATGGTGCATTGTCTGACCAAGCGATACCAGGACGGTCCCAGTAGCAGTATCGTTTGATCACACCGTGTTGGTAGGCTTCATCCACCCACTTTTGGAATGTATATTCCACCGGCGACTCACCTCCTTCGAGGAGGACAGTAACGGTCGTCTCGTTGCTATTTTTCAAGGTTGAATGGTCACCGCCAATGCAGTGGAGGTGGACTTGGTACTTGTTGCTGTCGACATAATACCTCTGTCCCGGCGGCTCCAGGGTAGCGTCCTTTGCGCGCAGACTCAATGTGGACATGAGTAGGATGCCAACAAGGACGGTAACCGCCATAACGACAATCTGAACAAGGATGGCGAGCCATTCCGAGAGGGATCGGCGAGTCTCCTCTCGGCCAGTGAGCCGTTCCTCTTCCTGCCTCTTACCCTGGGCCACCAACCGAGTCTGGGCTACCAGGTAGAGAGATATAATGACTGCCCAAGCTGCTGATGCAATACCCACCCAGCCTTCTTCGATGCGTAGCCGCGGGACTCCAAGCGTGAGAAATAAGCTGACGCTCAGCAGGACGGATAAGGTGGTAGCCCATATCGTCATGGGTGTAGACGGGATGGCAAAGAATATCAATGCAATAAGCAAGTTTGATATCGTCAGAGTGGTGAAGGAGAAATCAAAGAAGCCCGATCCCCGGTTGCTCATCCCAGGGGGGCTGACGAAGATCGATATGAGCAGCAGAATCCACCAAAGAAGTGATATGAATAACACCGTCAAGGTGAGTCCTCTCAGGGCCCGAACACTCCATAGATTGTATGGCGATACCTGAATCAAGATGACAAAAATAACGAGTTAGCTTGGCCAGCTTTTTCAACATCCACGCTAGGTTGAACTTATCTATAACATACCGCTGGATCGTCTGGATGGAGGTATCCGTTGCCTTCAGCCGGCAAGAGGCGTGTCCTTTCGTCCACATCCTGAGCTCTTCGTCTGTTATCAGGACGGCCTGTCTCGCCGACATATTCTTCCTCATCCCCGTCCTCCCGGCCTTCTTCTCGGCCGTTGTGCCGTAAACCCCAAAGGGGGGACATTCTCTCGAGAGCTGGCTTTTTTTTTTTTTAGCACATATAACTTTATCCCGGTGAATACAAAGTAATTGGGCGGACAGTTCTAGGAAGCTGTCCAAGCAAAGCTGGTTCCCTGGTCGTTCAAAGCGATCAAGAGCTCTCCAGGGGGTGTCAAGAAGACGATCAAAGCTGGCAGCAAGTTGGCAGAGAAACTGTGCCCACTATTTATACCACCACCGCCGGGGCCCAGGTCATACAATATTGACTTCATGATAGCAATACTAGACACAATACACATATAAGGCCCGCCTACCTGCCGCCTTGGTTCAGCATAGCATCTTACTTGCTTTCTCCTCGCATGTGGCAAAGGCAGAACCTTCAGGCGCCTCTTTCGTCCTTCCAAAGCTTGGACGGGCATAAATAACACAGGCAGGCAGTGACGTCATACAGAACCTTAGGGTGATAGTCACGTGGTATAGTACACCTGTTTGGGACTAGCTGTATTTGAAGCTGTGTAAATTACATACCTTAGGTAACTCCTAGTTTCAACTTCATGGAAGCAACCTCTCAATCTCGAACCAGAGAAGCGGCGGCATGAAGAATGATAATACATCGAGTTGAATAGGATTTTGAACTATAGTTCGTTTTTTATTGAATAGATGATTTGAGACACGTTTGATAAAGGAAGAGATATCTGCCCTCCTTTTTGTTCCACCAACGGCGCGGCTGTGATACCTGTCCAGCAGCTTCTTGAGATACCCCTTCCTCCCTTTGGGCATAGGCGAGATACCATGAGCGACCTCCAAAAGTCTTTCGCCAAATCACGGCTTGCAAAAATACCGCCTGAGGTGCCAGTATTCGATGATATTACTGAAAGCCGGTCTGGTCCTGGGGTGTACAATGATCATCATGAGGACGATTCGTCGTCAGCGTCGTCGGCTTCTTCCACGGGTACGATAGTGCCCTCGCAGAGCCAGAAGTTGTTTGAGCGTGGGTCTGGGTACGTTATATTTGTCTTTCTTTTCTAAGTGTTACTGCATGATTTTGTATGCTTTCAATGGGATACTCCAATAGTCATACATCATAATACCTGAACCATGTTCCCCGTCAGAAAAGCTTTGCTAGGACTTTCCCAGTTCTAACTATCCAGTTAAAGGGCAAGATCAAGGTCGAATTTTGTTGCTTCTCCATGGAGTGACTTCTTTGAAACGGAACTTTTCATCGAGGATGATATAGATGGCCTTCATATAAATCACCACATCTACTTCACTTCCCCTTCCAAATCTGGTCCACTGTTCGTCATGCATCACGGAGCAGGCTCGTCTGGTCTATCGTTTGCTGCTTGTGCTGCCGAAATTAGACGAGCTCTACCAACAGCTGGCGTTTTATCATTAGATGCCCGAAGCCACGGGCTTACGACGCAGGGTACAACCGATTTGCTGAAACAGGAACAAGATCTAACACTGGAAACGCTAAGCCGCGATCTTATTTATATCGTCAGGAAAACCAAAGAAAAGTTGAAATGGGAATCTATTCCACCACTTGTTCTAGTTGGTCACAGTCTTGGAGGTGCTGTGGTTACCCATGTTGCAAAGAGTGGTGAACTAGGCTCGAACGTTTTAGCTTATGCTGTGCTTGATGTCGTAGAGGGTGCGTTAATAGAATTGAAAACTCCATTCTTAGACTCTTAGGCAGCTAACTCGTCTTCTCGGTCATGGCGGTTCAGGATCTGCAATTGATGCACTTCAGAGTATGGAGACATACCTTTCTACCAGACCGTCAAGTTTCCCATCTCTAGCATCGGGTATTGAATGGCAGTACGTTTCTGGACCGTTTATGCTGTTCTATTATTAACTTCAACCCAAATTCTTACGTTGATCTAGTACACGATCCCGAACGATACGCAACACAGCTTCCGCGCGAGTATCAGTCCAAGGCCTTCTGCGCGAAGAACCATCCACAGACTCACATGTAGCCACATCTTGGAAATGGCGTACAGACCTTGCCAGGACGAAGCCTTTTTGGGAAAACTGGTTTACAGGTCTCAGCAAGAAATTTCTAGAGGCTCGTGGAGGTAAACTGCTTCTGTTGGCAGGAACCGATAGACTAGATAAGGAGTTGATTATCGGACAGATGCAGGGTATGTAGTAGTTCACTCCATTGACACTCTTCTGTATTTCTGTATTAAAAAAAAAAAAAAAAAAAAAAAAAAGGTGTAGAGACTAATGTTTTGAGATGACAGGGAAATATCAACTCCAAGTTTTCCCGGAGACCGGCCATTTTATCCATGAAGATCAGCCTGTTAAAACCGCACAGATATTAGTCGACTTTTATAAACGCAATGACAGAAGTGCTCTTGTTCTTCCTCCTAAAGTCAGCGACATGTTAGCTTCCAAGGATAGTGCGCAAAAATGGGGGCTTAAAAAATGAAATATTCAGCCGAACGCTATTAAAAGCGCCCTGCTACTATTTGCTTACATAGCGGAGAAATTTTGCATTCTTATTGTCGATGGTATATGAAGTGATGCTTAATAATTTATTGGAAGATACGAGATGTTTTATAGGAGGTTGTTACCAACTCATCTTATGAATCATATTGCATTAATCGGCTTAAACTTGCCTCCATCCTGTATCAGCATAGGAAAGACAATCAACATATGGAAATTAACTAATTCTGCCAGTGGACCTAACCGCAACTAATGCCAGCACCCTTGCTTTGATTTCCTTGCTCTACCTGAACGCCGGCATTGAAATCACAACACTGCCCCATAACACCTTAGAAATAGTAGGATATTGTCAGCGGTAAATGTCGTTTCAGGGAGTATATGCTCCCCCAGCAATCACTAGATTCATTCTGGTGAACGTGACATTGAAAACTGGAGTTTTCTTAGTTGGGAATGCGCTGATCTGATCTGCAGTAACAACTGCATCCTTTCCTTTCTTCTTCTTAGCAGAACTTCCCTTGGCTGTGCCTGACTTTGGAGCTCCGGCCACAGATGCTGCTGCCGTTGCTGATTGACTAGGTGCTGCGTTTGTCGAACTTGAAGCATCGATCTTGGTTCCACCTCCCGACTCTGTGAGTACGCGACTTTGCCCGGTGGAAGCTTCACTCGGGGGTCCTGCGACATCCCAAACACGGACTGTGCCGTCTGCGCCGCCGGAAACAAGGACGTTAGATTCGGCACTCCAAGACAAAGCCCAGATACCACCCTTTCCGTGGCCACGCATGCGTTTAAGAAGTTTTCCAGGGGCAAGATCCCAGAGAATGATAGTCCCATGGTCATCAGCAGAAGCAAGAAGTCGTCCATCGTTGCTGCAGCATACGGCAGTGATGTTCCCAGTGTGGCCGGTAAACATACGAACAGCATTCCCCGTGCTCACAGACCACATGCGAACGGTGTGGTCAGAGCTCGCAGTGAATACGTAGGCAGAATTTGGGTGGAAGCATACGCAATCAACATCTTGGTCGTGTCCAACAAAGATACGTTGCTGTCGGATCTTGTTGGTAACCCAGAGCCTTGCAGTTTTGTCGTGACCACCAGAGACGAAATAATGCCCGAATGGCCCCCATGACAGGCTCCAGACAGGTCCAGCATGGCCTTTGTACACAACAATACACCTCCAAAGATCAAGGGACCAAAGACGGATAGTTTGGTCCGCGGATGAGGAAAGAAGCCAACGAGCATTGGTTTTCACCTCTGCATCGTCTGGACTTGCTATGGACGGAGCAAATGACACCGCATAAACTGGGCCAGAATGGCCATACAACCTGTGAGAATTTTTTGGGGTGGAATCGTCCGGATCTGGGTATGTGGGAGGAATTGGGAGCCCATCCAGGCTCCAAACGCGAATGTAAGAGTCTTGCATACCAACAGCTACAAGAGCGTTGTCTCCAGAAAAATCCATGCAAGTAATTCTAAACAAAGAAAACGCATGATTAGCTCAGCTTTGTCACCCTAGTCCTTAGGCTCTGATACATACCCTTGGTTTGCATTGTGGAAAGTAAACATGCAAACACTAACTCCAGGAGCAACACCTCCACTTCGCCCTTCGATCTTAAACCTGTCACGATTTTCTTTCACTTTTTGAACTTCCATAGCCACATCACGTGCAGTCGAAGGAGGGTATGGGATTTCCGAGCGAGAAGGAGCATCAAGATCTTCTTCTTTCTTAATCATTTGGTCAAAATGCTGGACAAGGGTTACTTTTCCAGGTCCAAGATCTTCCTTAGAGTCTTCCTCCTCTAACTCCCCGCGAACATCCCCTTCTAGTGTGGCCTCTGGGGGCAACTGTCCTAGTTTGAGTCGAGGAAGGGCCCCAGCTATTCCAGGATTATCACCAGTATAAGCGGAGCCAGGGTGGTGACCTGGAATTCCCTCATCTTCAGCGGGTACGCCAGCTGAGTCTTTGCCTCTGGCAAGCATTGCGCCAAAACTGAACCGGTCATCAGAAGCACGATCTCTTGTAATGATGGTACAATAACTGCTCAACAGAGCCGACATAACTGTTCCACCCTCCTTATGCTTAGTTTCAAGAAACTGCATGAGATTGGAGAAAGCGGGGTTGCTCAAAGTGAGCCGGTATTTGTTGTCGAGGTATAGTTTAGCTATATTATTATCCTGAACATGCTCAGGAAGCCCGAGCGTCTGCAGAGCGCGAATATCGTCCGTGTGCTCCGGAAGAAACAAATTTTTGTTTGCTTCAAAAAATTGGCGGCCTTCCAACGGCGCCATAGCTTTGATAAGATTCAAATAGGAGTAGACAAAAAGGGGCCAAAGAACGCGTCTAAGTTCGGGCTGGACGAGTAACGGTGGTTAGAAAACAGTCCAGCTAGTGATCAAGGAAAATAATACCTTGTAAATCTCTAAATTATCTTCGACCCATAACTTTGTCATTTCTACAAATTACCTGCAAGTTAGTCGCGTCTCGACATACATTCAAATAGTGATAATGGCTACAAACCAAAGGCAGCTCTGAATTTCGGATGGGTATCTGTCGAGACTGGCAACAAAGGGCGCCCATCGATTTCTTGGTTTGATGATTCCATTCGGAAAATGGCTTCGGTTCGATTATAACCTTTTTTCGCCAGATAGTCAATGACCTACAGTGATACTCATTAGCATTGACCTCATGCAACAAAATATAAATCATAAGCATATTTCGAAGACGGAACATAACAAAACAGCTAAACGCTTTGACAGAGAACCCACGATTTGATTGAGACGCGCAGCTTTCTCATCCTCCGGGTTGGATTCCTCTGACTCCGAACTCCCGCCGGCCGCTGGCTCCCATCCAACGGGACACTCCGCCATTGTCCTTTGTATGGCAGCTGCAAAGGATGGGTAATATGATAAAAAGAAAGGAACCCCAAGCAAGAAAGGATAAGTGTTGGAAAGGACAATGGGTAAGGGGACTGGCGTGAAATTGATAGACGGAGACGGGAATACATTTTTCCATCTTTGGCCTGAGGGTGATGCAGTAACAGGGAGTTCTAGCTTGGGATATAGTGCCCTTAATAGGACATTTAAAGCATGAAGTGCACAAGCTAGATCTAGCCCCACCAAAAAATTTAAAAGTGGTTGATATATTGTCCTGGTTTGGGGCAACCAACAATCGAAGTATGGATAGATATTGTCACACTTATTTTGAGTGTTTATTAAAGGCCAAAGCGCTTGGGATATAAATGCAGGTATAAAATGCAGCATAGCAAAAGAACTAAAAAGAAGAGAGTGCGTATGAGTGAGGAAGAGACAAGGAAAAGGAAAGGGCAAAACCCCAAGTACAGCAAACTCTGCAGTTGTAGAGGAAAAAAAAAAAAAACGTGTACATCCAGCTATATGAGCATAAAGTTGACTTACAATCTGGTTCAAATCCTGCTGGGATACAGGTCCGGGTCTGTTGGGTACGGCTGGTGTAGCGCCACCAGAGGAAGGTCCACTGGATATAGGTTGCTGATGTTGAGACGGCATTGTAACTCCATTACCAGGACCAGTGCTGGCACTCCTGGGGCCAGGGCTGGGTGCTCCAGCAGGTCCCGACATATTGGAGATTTTTTGATATCTTGTCAAGGCGATCCTTTCTCTGTATTACGTGGGTATTAAGGATCGTAATGTAGTAAATCAAAATCTCAGATAGTCGAAAACTTCGCAAGCTAGAACGCGACTCATGGCAGAGGAATCTTCGTGGCAGATTGGAGATGTCTATGCAAGAAGAGAGTATGAGGGATTGGATGCTCGCGGTGTATAAAAGGAATCAAGGTTAGAAGTTGCGGCAAAACCGCAAAGTGGCCCCAGGTATAGCACGTGATATACATACATCATATTACATAAGCAGATACTTTCAACCTCCGATTTGATGATGATGGACAGGACATATTTAATCTAAGGGGGGAAGATGAAAAATTGAGAGAGTGACGCAGTAAAGATGGCGTCGGAGAAAGCAGTCTTTAGCCCTGCTGATCGAATAAATGAATTGAATGAGGTTGATAAGGTACGTGTAGTTGTCAGTTGCACGCGTGCTTAACATTGATTTTGGATATAGGATATAGCCCAGATACTGCAGTCAGCCGGACTTGCAATCCAGTCTCTCACCAACAACACGTCACTATCCCGAGGAGAATTAGAGACAAGTAATTCGACAACAAACGCGTCCCTTGATTCCCGTAAAATGGCTTTCAAAACCGCGTGCTCTCAGTACTTTGCTCTTGTTTCGTCAGTTGACGTCAAATTACGCCGACAAGTCTATGCTCTAGAGGAAGCCTCGATAATTCGTGCTGAACCTACTATCTCCCTTAAAGCAGGGGATAGCATGGTTGCCGGGGCAGGTGCAACCACCCAGTTGTCGCCTGGGACTGTCAATCCTCTTGAAACGAGCTGGCTGAACAGCCGAAAGGATACAGTCGGAAAAGACAAGGAGGCGGAACTGTGGGCAGAAGCTAGCCGTTTTATGAAAAGTGTTACCTCTAAAAAATGGAATGAGAACCCTGATTTCTCCGCGGCTCAGGCTGATGCAAGCGGGAAACAGGCTATGGGCGTGGACTGATAATGTCTGATAATTGACCATCATCATATTTCTAAGAGCAGGCACAATACCCATCTGTCCCCAATAATCGAGCCTCTCTAACTAAAACTTCTTGTGCACTTTATTGCCGCCGTGAAGAAAGCGCTCGCCAACTATAGCAATGCGTGCCTACCTTAACTGCCACCCTATGCTTACTATTTGAGAGAGAGGACAATCGCATATTAAAATCTAGTGAGACAAATCAATAATATGAGAGATCTATTGGAGCTGCAGTATTCAATTGTATATGATTTGTTCGGGTCATCTAGCTCCTACGCAAAGGGCAAACGCCGCCCCCGTGGCTATGTGTACTCCAATAATACCAATAGTTAGAGTGAAGGAGAACATTTATGGTTGTCAAGTTCAAATGTACCATATATTTCGTCTCTATTTACGGGAATAGCAAGGTTTTATGGATTTCCGTCTTCGAAAATCTGGTCCCAACGTCCGATACTCGAATGACCTTCTATTTCATCATAGCATTGATAACATTACGGTGGGCGGACTTCTCTTCGTTTGTCTCGGATAAAGGTTGTAGACCTTGAAATCGGCAAATTAGTATTCAATATAGTAATATCAAGGCAACCATTTGCTTATATACTCACTCCTAAGCTCAGAAACAACGTCCTTTGCTTTGCCGAAATAAACCTCCTCTAAGAAGAGAACTGTGGTTAGCGTCATGTATATTTGTGACAGGGAAACGTAAACTTTGTATCTTCATACGTAACAAGTTCCTCATCTTGAACTCCATATCTTCAACCAGACGTCCCACGTTTGCTACATGGCTCTCATCGCCGTTCACGGCCATATCCGACTCGATCTGTCTCGTCATATTGCCGCTCAGGTCCATTTCCCCGAGGGTGTCCGAACCGGTTGATAGGTGGAGGATAACTGTGCTTGTCAGCTTATAGTGACATGTTCGTCCGCGGTCGGTAGCCTCAAAAACATGGATACTATCCCAGGCGCCAGAATTCTTGGAACCAGGTGTGATTCCTACACCGGGTCAGTTCATGACAAGCATCTTGATAGGTGAGATGAAATACCTTTTTTCAGCAACACCACACCAGCAAACCCGTCATCAAGGTCCCAGAAATAAACACTACCAATTCCGCCATCATAGTAAAGGTCCCGGTAAATATCAAATGCCTTGTTCGTTTCAATTTCCAGTTTCCTCACCCGTTCACTCGGTACTGTTCCGTCTTCAATTGGGGGGTCAAATTCGTTACTCCATGGGCTTCGGTAGCTGTCTCCGTCACGGTTGTAGTCACAAAGTAAATAGTCGCGCTTTGATCGGGGGCATCGTCGGACTTCGAGTGGTTGGTCCACGGATGCCAGGAGATCCTCTGTCAAGTCAGGAAGCAGTGTGGTGATGTTATGTAAATTTTCTTTTGTGTTTCTAGGGGATAGACGGCGAAGAAGGTCTCTGTATTCAAGTGCCTATTATCAGATATTTTGCACATCTGGTGGCCCTAGATTGATACCCCTGGCGAATACACTGGGGATGGCTTTCCCGTCAAGTGGGGGAGGGGGCGCCTAGCGACAGATTGAAGAGCAGGAGAGGGACGAGTGACTTACAAGGCGCTATCAAACTGTGTGTCTGCCATGATTCCGGACGGAGAAAGAAACAGAAAGCTCCAGAGAGCTCCGGATTTGGGGTTCGTCTAGGAGTTTGATGTCTGAGGAGGTAATACCGAGATGGAGTAAATAAAGATGACGAACTTAGCTGGCTAGGTGCGTGGCAAAAAGACACTAAAATTAACGTTGTCCACGGTATTTCCACGAGACACGGCTACATTCTCGAAGTGATGTAAGATACCAAGTAACGTTTTAATATATTATATGCAAAAGTCATGTCCTCATCACTTCTACCTAAACGCCAAAGAACAGGTAGTAAGTAAGTATATAGTGTCTAAAAACCACTAAAAGTCCCGCTATAATCACTATGAATTTGAGCAACATCTTCGTTTGTCTCCCCAACAGGAACCACATCCCTTGTCGTCTCAGCAGCGGGTTTTCGAGCAAAGGGATTATTGCTAGCAAATGATTCAGCAAATAACTGATCAATGTCAGGGAAATCATCGTCAGCGCTATGTTCGGATGGATATGTGTTATTGTTGTTTAAACCGAACGAGCCGGAGGCCTGGGTACACATCAATGAGAGTCCGCGCTCAGATGGACCGTCCTGCCGTGTCCTCTGCTGACAATCGGAGGTCTTGGTAACCATCCCGGCGCCTATCCCGGTGCCTAGTTTATCAGTGGAAGAATCTTGTTCATGGCTATCGTCGGAGATAGGTGAGGGCACTTTATCGTTGGGTTCCCAATTATGAACGTCAGGAGGAAGGTAAGGCTCGTATTTTTCATCACAATCAATACCAAATTCCGACATTTCACGGACCGCCTTTGTTAGGCTGCGGGTCAGGGTCGCATGCGGCACATCTACAGTGGGCCGACAGAATCTTTGAAGAACTGGATAAACGTCAAGTCGAGGGAAGCGCATGACCTGTGGTGACGTTCCAGTCACGGTCTGAAAATTCCGTCTTAGTTCGAGAGTTTGATCTGGAGTAAGAGTAACCTCATTCAAGGGCGGGAGTTCTGCAATCTCTGGACTTTGTTCTCGATATTCAGGTAAATTCTTCCGCCTTTTAGGTTTCTTATCAACACCGGTCAAGGTTAGGGCGTTCGTGAAGCCTGTTTGAACCCCATCGGGCATGTGAAATTTCTTTGGTGGTCGTTTCGGTATGCGGCCACGTTTTGTAGGCACCGGGAGTTCCGCCTGGGAGTTCTCTATGGGTATCTCAATGCGTTTCTCATCTACTCTCGGCTGGATATCACGGGGAATAATGCGAGGAGATTTATCCTCATGGAATGTAAAGTGAGATCCAGAAGCAATGATTTGTTGCATCTTCTCGTAGTTATCCTTTGCCCTGAAGTATTTTTCCTCTTCTTTGCCTTCCATAAGCAAGAGAACAACCTTGCCCGTACGTTTTCTTCCGGTTCTCCCCATTCTCTGCAACATACGAATAGGCGACGCTGAAGAATCGTAACATATGATAAGATCAACTTCTCCAATATCAAGGCCTTCCTCTCCAATAGAAGTGGCAACGATGGTGTTATAAGTTCCCTCTTTGAACTTCTTTATAATTTCTAGCTGTTTCTTCTGATCCATGCCTTCGGAGCCTTTGGCACTCGCCTGGCCTACAAAAACATGTGGCAGGATTATTGGAGCGTGTTTTTTGAGCACCCGGACAATTTCCTCTGCACTGTCACGAAAATGGCTAAACACCATCACTCGTGTTTTTGGTGAATTAGCCGTGTGGCTGTTGGTATCCGCGTCCAAGAAGTGGTTCAAAATAACTCGTTTAAGGTATTCCAACTTGGGATGGCCAACGAAATCCGCATCCGTCATTTTTGATCTTAACATAGTCATCATGGATTTAAAATTCGCATCGTCCATGACCTGTCGACCATATTTTCCTCCTTTCCCTTGACTTCCATCCGTGGAGCCATCACGAAACGACACCAAGTTACGATAAAACGGTCCAACTCCGTGGTATTTGAGAAGCTCAATGGCATGAGCTAGGCTAGCCAGGACTGTGAATATGCTATTGACCATTCCTTTTAGACCCCAGTTGGCTGTTCTACCTGCTGGTGACATAATCCACTTTTTTCTGGCCTCGGTTAACCCAAAAGGAGTAAGGGACATTGGGTCATCTCCCCAATATGCATTGATGTTACGAAGTTTCTCAACCATGGGCCTCAATGCTTTTGAAAATTGATCCATGCAAAGCTTCATATCGTCAGAGTTAGAGAAAGAGATGGTCTCCACGTTTTTAGCATGTACATATTCACGGATATCCAGAGAGGATTCAGTGCGTATTTCGACTCTTGAAATGTTCAACCCATCAATTACTTCCTGGACCGTCTCAACTGTTGAGCCCGGAGTCGCGGTTAACGCCAGGACTCTGAAGCTGGTATTAAACCGTTGAATAAACTTGACAACTTCAACGTATACGTATGCACCCGTGGCACGATGCGCCTCATCAACAACTAATAGCACAACTCGCTTTGGGTCAGCAATGCCACTCTTGAGGTCATTAATAAGGGTCTGTGGTGTCATAAAGAAGACACGCTTCGATTCCCATTCTGTTGCTCTTAAGCCGGGTGGCACATTTCCTGTAAGCATAGTGGTTTGAGACCGGGGAATTCCAGCAACATTAAAACATGCATCAACTTGCTGCGCAACAAGTGGCTTAGTCGGAGCAACAAATACAATTTGAGCAAATTTTGTCCATCTAAACCAGTTAAGCATCACAGTCGCAGCAATGAACGTCTTTCCAAGACCAGTGGGTAGGGCAACAAGAAGGTTATGAAACAGACCACGGTAGGAAATATTAAACTGATAATCACGTTTTCTCCCCAAATTTACTGGATACGTCCACGTCTCCAAGGCTTCTGAATTAAGCGCATGATGTGTTGGAACCTCGTTTTGGCTGGCCAAAGGCCAGTTCCTGGAGGTCGCCGGTTGAGAAGGGGATTGGTTGTTTGCAATTCCACCAAATAACGTGGTCTGACGAAGGCTTTTTTGTTGAGAGTTTGTTTGTTTTCTTTGTGAAGTTTGAAGCCCGGCCTGAGATTGACTAGTAACGCGTCCATATGTGGGAGTCTGTCGTGGGGAGGATACGGGCGAAGAACCAAACACATCAGGAATATCATCGGGATCAAAATCTAAAGCTAGTGCAGTCAAGTCCGGGCTGTTGCCTGCTGCTGGTGGTAAGAAGGAAACATCACCCGTTTTTAGTAAAGAGTTATTAGCAACTTGGTTCCTTAATTTTGTCCCACGAGCAGATGTCTCCTCTCGTAGTGATTTAAGGGATTCGCGTATGGCTGCTTTGACGTCTTCATCAGAGCCTTCGGTGTTTTGCAGGTCGCTAGGATCTCCATTTGATTGTTGTCGAGGAGGATATATAGGAGAAGGAGAATGTGTAGGAGGAGGAGGTCTCGGCGGGCTTGGATTGTGTTGCTGTGGCTGGGGCTTTTTCCATCGCGGGCCACGGATCCTTGAAGGACTCGAAGATGGCTGTGTCAACTGAGTAACAAAGACCGGTTCTTGGTTTGTATAGTATTTCGGTTGATATACTTTTAAATTGTTCGCCTGCTGCTTTGGGCCCTCCCCCCTAGCTTTTGGGATTTGTGCCTTTTGAGGCGGAAGCCCATCCTCTGATTCTTCTTCCGTTTCATTAACTGATCCTATGTCAACTCCATCTTCATCATTTAAGCTATCCTCCCCTGTCTCCTCTTCTTCTCCCTCCTCGGCTTGGCTACTTATACCTGTGGGAGAGGAGGCGGGCGGGTTATAGACGCGTCGTCGTTTTGCTGGCCGCGGGCTTTCAGAGAGGAGCCAAGGATCTGTATCCGCACAGGGAGGCTCATCGGAATCTAACAAAACTGTAACCATCACTATTCGACATGATACTGAAATTTAAAAGACTTTTGCTCAATGATGGTTTTTGTCAACTGTCGCAGACATTCGCGTCATATCACAATAAACGCAAGTCACGTGACTCAGGTCATTCAGCGCGCTTAATCGGCCAATGAAAACCCAGTAGGATGCAGACAGAGAGAGAGAGCGAAAAGTTGGAGGCTCCCGTCAGGCATATCTTTATTTATGCGACGAAATTACTATACAATGCACTAATGATGTTCTATCATTGCCAGTTACGAATTAATTGATTAATTAATTAATTAATTAATTAATAATTTGTTTTTCTTACAAATCATACACATGATATGGCATATTATACTATGCAAGCTCGACACAACAAAACCAGTATCTGCAGGCCTAATCCTATAACCCCACCGTACACCAGTAACACACTATAACCCTTCCTTTGCGAGCATGTCTAATTCCGATTAGCTACGATAGTGCATCAGACCTTGATCACCAGCAGCCAGGACCTGCCAGCAAATGACTTACCCGCGATGTCAAGGTAAAATGCCACAGCATTAAACCTATTCAACCACCAGAGCTCAGTTACCCACTGGTATCACATTTGGGGTACCATGTGACTTACTTCTTTCTATTTCCAGTTATCTCTGCGGCAAACCATTTGAGGCGATTTGTCCAATTGATTAAGTCAATATGACTGACGTCAACTAGCGTACCTTTGTAGCAGCCCCATTTGCTACTTGCAACGCTCACGAGGCCGTCGTTCGGGCCTTCTTCGTTGTCTAGTATTCTCCGTGATTGGCTAAACATCGACCAGGTATCCGGCGATAATACGGCTCCATACGAATAATATCTAGTTTATATCAGCAAGTTGAACTGGAGAAGCATTTTTTGGTACCGCATTCGTTAGTTTATACTTGACATTATCAACGTTCACAACGTCGGGGTTGAATGTTTGGGCTAGATATTTCCGGGTGAGTTGCTTGAATGCTCCATTTTGCAGCCCTAGCCGGCCAAGTATAAAGTAAAGTTGGGAAAGACGCTCCTCTATTACTGGTAAGCTGCTGTCTCTCAAGGTAAATTGGTTGTAACGGACCGCCCAGCCATTCAAGAATATAGTCGGCCACAGCCGAGCCTGGATGAAAATGATTAATCATATGGTCGTAAATATATGATGCAAAAAGTAGAATATATACTGACCTTGGTGGGGAGTGGCTATGGTTGTCAATGAGACGACTTCGAATGTCGTTGGCCGTAGTTTACTGATCATATACCTGGCATCTAGCCCACTTGACATGAAGTTCCTGTGTTAACATGAGCTGTACGCAGTAAAAAGCTATAGTAGATATCGTACCCCTGATGAAGATGGTGAGCTAATGATTTCTCAAATAGGTATTAGAAGGACATACCATGCTATGTCTGTACAACCGGCTTAATTAGTAGCGTATTGGATAAGTTGAAGGAGCAAGAGGACTCACGCAATAATATTAACCTTTCTGCCTTCTGCCCTGTTTTCAATTCCTTTCAACAGCTCTTCTGCACGCTGTTCAATAGAAGCGGACGGAGAAACAGGAGCGGTGATGACCTCCACACCATTAATAGAGTAGGCATCTTTGATCCCTCTCCAGTAATGTATGGCTGGCAAAGCTCGTTTTGCGATTCGAAGTTCGTCAAAACCTAGAAGGCCGTGTGCTAATACTATAGGATGCTTTGGTTTCACTGCCTCACGCGAAAATAAGGCATTCGTGCAGCGTCTACCAGTCAGAGGTCTAGGGTACGTGGTTATCATTGTCTGAGGGGTGGTATAATTTCTTTTGAGCACTCACAATATGAATCTCGGATATTAGCATATTCGTCCTTGATGAGGTGGCCAAGTCCGGCAAGACGGCGATCCAGCAATCGACTTGTCCGGTCCGGGTTAAAGAAGGTGAATCGACGGAATTGCTGGGGCCGTGACAAATAGAACAACGGTTTTTGAGCTTTCATATATGAATCGTTGCCCAATAGTTTTGTGGTTTTCATGACTCCTGCCAAATGAAGGTGGTCGTGGTGGCTGATCAGCCTATGATGTGATGAAGTTGCTAGCAAGAAATGAGACGTGGACAACGCTCGCAGTTAAAGTATTCGGTCAAAGCATACAGTTAAATGGAAAGGAGGCTGGTTGCCTTGATAAGTGGGAAATATTTAACTTGCTAACTGATGCAGTCAAATAAACAAGCTGAAACTTTCATGTGACGGATGCTACTAGGTTCTTGGAGCAGCCCAAAAGCCAGACCATGGAGTCAGCTGTAAAAGCTATCTATTCCTCTATTCACAGCTACATGCAAATTGCACAAAACCACATCCCTAAATATCTTCATGCCTACCACAAACGATTATAAAATTCCTTGAGCCTTGGACAAACAGCATATAATTACCAGTATATAAAAGCATGAAGACCCCGAACACAGGAAGAAGAATGTCAAGTCTCAACCGAGCCGTTAAACATAGAAGAGGTCACTGAGCGTAATTTAAGCTTTTTTAGCTAGCTTCTCTGGGACCTGGGGGTTGACATCTAGGACAGTCTTAATGAGATCTTCGACGACCTTGTTGCCCTTTTCTTTCCCAGATTTCTTGATTTCAAGGAGCTGGGCTTCTGCATCTTTGTTTGCATCATTTTCGGCTTTCTGGTTTCCGCTCGAGTGCTGGAGAGAAAAAGAGATGATATCAGCATAGCCCGCTTGTCTCTTCGCATCATAGTCTACCACTCTGGGGACGAAAAGAGTATTTACCTCAGCTTCGAATTTTCGGAATTCCTCTTCCTTTTGTTTCTTGTAGTCTTCAATCTCCTTCTGTGCCTCTGTCTTGGCGTCCTTTATGCGCTTCGTGCGGTCTAGGTGGAGAGAACGTTAGGGAGCCTATTGCAGATTACGAGATGAGGTATGACAAAGTGTTGACTGACATTCTCTAGCTAGAGGAGAAGTTAACGAGAGTTACATGCAGGGCCAGTGACCGTAGTTGGAGACATACCAGTCTGAACTATCTTCTGAGCTTCCCTTTCCGCCTATCCAACTCATGTTAGCTAGGGATGTTTCCGGTGTGCATGGCGGGCAGGCAATCATACATCGAGGAGGGTCTGGATTCCGGCGGAATTTTGTGCAGCCTACAGCATCCATTGTCAGCTTCTGTGTTTTTCTGGTCCCCGGGCACGTCTAAAACCGAGTTCTCTTACCATGTTGTGTCTCGTCGGTCTGTCTTGCTGGGGTGGAATGGTCCTAGAGTGCCGTCATTGAAGACGGGGCTCGCCCTTCCCGCTTTAAAACCAACCTCCAGCGCCCGGGCCAACACTAGCTGACAATCCACGTGACTGCTTCAAGGTTCCTGGGACGAAAATCCCAGGCTGCTCCTGTCTGCAAGTTTACGTCGAATGCAGTGACGACAGAGCAACCTAGCTCCTTTGCCCCTCAAACGAACTCCATCTCAAATCCTCCAGCTCCCTTTTGGCTCCCTCCACTGTTACGGGGCTCCGGGTAAGAAGAGGAACCATGTCTCGAGCTTCAAAGGTCACCCTTGGAGTCACCTCCCTTGTGACAGCGGGCATTGTCTACTTCGTTCATTGGTCACAGGAATCGGAACGATTGGTAAGGAGGAGACTGTTCTCTACCGTCTTGAAGGCTGAGGAAGCGGCTAATTTTCTCTCCGATAGGCAATGCATGCCGGGGTTGAGCGAGATATGGAGCAGCAACGAATCAAACGAGAACGACAGGCTGATTTCGAGATGCAGAGACGCCTTGAGGAGGAGTATAAGAAGATTCAAACCGTCTCAGACAGTGTTCCGCCGCTTAATATAGCCGGAAATAAAGGCGCAAACCAGCAGACATAGGATTCTAGTAACATAGATCCTCCCGGGTACATTGCGAGATAGGTACGACAGGATGTGAGAATCAATAAAGTGCTGGATCTTCTCAGTCCTTCGAGCTGGTCTCCGTCCCACAATGCCCGCGCATCTTAGATGGATCGATAACTAGTCGAGGTTGACGGGCAAGAGCATTGGCTCACTCTCTGCGCTCGTTCCCAACGGACTCGAAGGAGCCACCTTGGCGCACGATTGACATGATTTCGGGCCCTGTGCTATCAACGATCACCCATACCACAGTGATATTGGTATACCGACTCCCAACTGATATCTAATCTCCACTTAGACATTGTATACATAGAATAAGAGATCCAGCCTCTGTCACATCTACGACTTTGCTGTTTAATGGTAATCCGGCACTGGGGTACACATGTATACGTCTCGACTACTCGTTTTCCCCTGGGATATATGACGTGCTTGCTAACGCAGGGAATAACACTCTGTATGCTCCCTCACATTCAAGTCACGGCTACATATGAGGTTCGATTTTCCCAACACCAATTGAGTAACCAGAAAGACACAGCAATACTCCGTGCGAGGCGGACACATAGCTCACCCCGTCGCGGACAAGGTTGAAATGCGCAATTCAAATACTAAATATCGGTATTGCTTTGATTTAGCTCTAATATTGAGCATCAACATGCTGTAACCGTAATCGTCGGCCCACGAGCACGTTCTCTGGGCCAGACAGGGATGGCCGATGTGACGCAGCACATGTAAAGAGCCTTTGACGGAGCTGATAGTTATAGCGACTTCACTATTATTATTATTGACGCAGATTCCTTAGCCTCCTTTTCGCCTGGCACATCGACACGAAGCTCGACGCCCTTACTGGTCCTTTACGCGTTGTCCCGAGGGCCTTTCCCCGCCACCACTATTATTCCCATTATTGGCTTGCACCTGACACCATTTCATCATCCGCAAGATAGGAAATCAGTCAACCAGCGTGGATGTGGGAGCAAGAATCACCAACAGCACCCTCGACTAGTGACTCTGGGGAAGAGAGAGAACCGGTATCTCGCCTCTGCCCTGGTGTTACTGACTCTCCTTCGGGTTTCTCCACATCACGGCTAGCTCCCTCGCGAAATGCTGGTAGGCCGAGACCTCAGCTTCGCCCCTGATACGAAGAGCCTTGCCTGACTTTCATGAACGCTCCCGCGTTCCAAGATGCCTGCGTCGAAATTAGAATGTTGTTGTGGGAGGGGGGATTGTGCGTATCTTGAGCATAATTCAGCTGCTCTGGCTGAGTTGGAACGGGATGTGGAAACTGCTGCACGGCTTGGTCAGGTACGCATGCAGGCTGCCTTGCTGGCCCATGTTGGACGAATCATTTTTGGCCACTCAGAATATATATCAACCCGACACTCCTCTAACGTCTGAATATTTAGATATATTGCATCCCTGCTAACATTTCCTCCCGTCTTCGGTTGTATATAGGCCCTACTTGACCGTCATGAATCCTACAAAGTCGAAGCTGAGAGCACTCGGGACCGGATGACCGCGGAGATGGAGAAACTGCAAACGAGCAAGAAAGAGACCGAAGCCGAAAATGCACGGATCGTGGAAGAGAACCGTGGCCTGCTCGACCAGCTAGAAAAGTTGAACCAGCTGCTGATAGAGTCGGATGCGCAGGTTAGAACCTTGACCACTACATTGCAGAGTACCCAGTTGGAAGTCAGACGATTATCATCTTCTACCAAACGTGTTGAGCAGTTGGAGGAGCAACTACTTCAGCTCGAGAACGAGCAGGCCAAACTGGAGGATACTCTCATCCTGACCCAAGAAAGCGAGAGTGTGGCAATCCAAAGATGGAGGAAAGCCGAGTGTGCGCTCGGGGATCTGCATGATCAAGTAGATCGGATAGAAAGGGAAGCTCGAAAAGAGCGTGAGCGGCATGTCGAGCTTATCGGGAGGCTAGAAAGGAGACGGATGGTTGAAAGAGAACTTGATACGGCTGCCGGCCGGATCAAAGGTGCCGCAGCTACTGCATCGCTATCGCGGAACGGAACCGGGACGAATGTGGTCTCTCATTTTGTACGGGATATATTGAAGGACAATGCAAGTCTCCAACAATGTGTTACCGAGCTGAAGGAGATGCTTCATAATTCAAATGAGGATGTCAAATATCTACGCGAGCAACTTCTACTGCACCAGCCTCTTGACCCCGTCCCGAGTGAAGAGCATACATACGGCAACCTTGTTCCCCTCAGCGAGGAACTTGAGGAAGACAAGATACCGGATCAAATGCCACAGGAAATTCATATTCACCATCATTTCCACCATCCAATTCCAACGCCATCGAGAAAGGAAAAATCTATCCCCATACTTCGGCGTCAACGGAAAAGACGTCCCGTCTTACCCCCAACTCTTCACGAAAATCCCTCTCGGGCTATCCCAGTGTCACAGGCATTGCACAGGCCTACCAACTCAGCATCATCCGTTGCTAGCGCATTTTCCCAGGCTTCATCTTCACTACCAGGAGCGGGGTCTGCCCTCTCCTCGATACCTAGCTCACCGCTTTCCGGGTATAGATCGTCGTCTATCTTTGACCGCCACGATTCGGGTTTTGAATCATCGCGTCCCACTAGTCCAGAGAGCGTAATATTTTCGCCTCCGCGGTACAACAAACAGAGTCATCGTCCGAGACTTTCAGATGCCTCCTTCCGCTCTATTATTGAAACTGATGAGCTTGATAATGGTGGATCGTCTCTGCCCTCAGTTGAAGGGCTAGCTGACCCACGGCATGACAACGATGAGCATCAACCGCTCGAGGGCAGAGGAGCAGAAAACGTTATTGTCGAGGAAGCACATAACCCACAACAAGAGCATGACAGCGAAGGCATTAGCTCATCGAAATGCAATGGTTTATCTAGTGGCCCTGATGATGAATTGACGCGCGACCTGAACTCGTCTGTCCAGCCGCTAGGTGATGCTCTGGAATTCCATACCAGTACCCCGATTCAATCACCCAGAATTTCTCATCAACTTCATCGTTCTAATTCCCATGAGAGTCTTTTGTCTGTTTCTGGCATGGATTTGCATACGACAAGCAAACATCCCGCCTTAGCCTTACGAGGAAACCCAAGTTTCTTCCCAAAACCTCCAAAGCGTGTCTCGAATACGAGCATCATGTTACCATCTCCCTCGCCAATAATATCGAAGACGAATGCGATTGTACCCAAAGCATCTTTGACCGGGGAGCAAACTTCAGTTTCCTTACTTTCTTCCGTGGTATCCTCCAATACGAGAGGGACTTTCCGTGCTGTATCCGACAGCGCTTCCCAAATCCACAGCGATGCCGCTTCCACCATTTCAGCATCGTCAGAGTCTAACGTACCCTCAAAGGCCGGGTCATCTGCTCGAACTATTGGCATTAGAAAGCGCATGGGCAGCTGGGTCAGAGAAAAGTGGTCCACAAACACAGTGGATGAACCAGGCAGCACCGCTTCTTCACTGACGATAGGGTCCTTGGTGCCAAGACCGCCAGGTGTTAACCAGAGCGGCCCTATACTTGGCCTACGCCCTCCTCCGCCCGCGCCAGTGTCACTTCATCCAAAAAACCTCAATCACGACCTGCTACAAGAATCCTTACTCGAGGAGTAAGAGACGCTACATTTTCCTCTTCTTTCAAACAATATCCTCTTTTCTTATATACGCTGTTTAATAACTTTCCATTCATACATAAGTCACACATCTTCCCCTGTTTTTCCAGCCGGAGTCATTTGCTTTCAGTCATTTGTTTTCATTCCATCTTAACATCTGATCACATACTGCTCGCTATAGACATTTTCCTTTGTTGCATCATGATACCCTGGAGTCCTCTCGTTTCGGACAGTCGTTTGATATCTTGAACCTTGTCTTATAAGTTATACGGTGAATGGGCGCTGAGGTCTGTTTTGAAGATGTACATATAGCTCTGTAGAACAGACGCGTTTGTCTTGATATTCACGAATAATATATTCTGCGGGCATTACTGCCCCTGCTCTTATCCTTCGACGTACTAGATGAAGTCAAGCAAAACGAGAAAAACAAATTGTGCTTAGTAATAACCTTATTTAGACGCTGTCTACCTGGCCCCTGCGTCACCACCCAAAGTGGGGCTCTTGCGCAGAAAGAAACGTCGAAGTCATTCCTTTTGCCAAAGCTGTTAAGAGCAACCTCGACCCCTGAGCATTTCTGGCTACCTTTCACTACCGATACCCAAAGGACAATATATCTCTATTGAACAAGCGCCTCCGAAGGCATTTTGCGATCACTGCATACTAGCTTCGGTGCTGAATAGGACCGTGATTTGGCCTATGACGTAGTTACTCAAAGTCAAAATTTTCGCCCATATACCTGTTGTTACCCCCTTGGCTCACCTTCACAACAACACACAATCCTTTCGCACGACCCACGCCTATAAGCCAATTGGATATATCCTGCAGTATTATAGATACCATCAGCAATGCTATCAAAGGACACGGAAGAGGGATGCCTTGTTCAGGACGCCGGCGGAGATGCCGCTGATCACAAACCAGAGCAATCGACAAACGACAAATTTTTCAGGTATTTCCAGGAAGAAGTGACTAGTACGTCAAACTAGAACGGTTGTTTTTATGGTATTTGCCATCAGTGAACTAAACTTTCTACTTGTACAGAGGTAGAAGAAAGAATCACCAAGCTTCACACCACACCCACAGCAGGGGGTGAACAAGCCAGTGCTGCTGATTATTGCTTGGCGGACATTTCACGGTTGTCAGATGAAGTCAAAGATGCATCCACTTATATACCCAGTTACGATCAGCGGGCATACGCCTCGGTATGTTGCTCGGGATCAAACTGTTAATACAAATATCTTCATCGTGTGAGAGCTAATACCCAGGATGTATTCACGATGTAATAGGCTATAAAGGCGCTTCAGGAGAAATTCGCCGATGCAAAGGAGGCAATTGCCCCGCGCAAACGATTCGCGTTCAAGCGGTCCCGCCAACCCACTCCTGCCCAGAACACGACTGATGAAGTAATGCAAGATACCCCCGCTACGCCTCGAACAACGGCTCCGAACCCAAGTCCGGAACCAACTACACGCGTTGCCTTAGTCAGTCACGAAAAAGTTACTGTTTGACATCAACCTGAACCATGACGGCAGTGGACGAAGGGAAGAAA